TTGTGCACCCACCCCTCCTAGAAGAATGAAATATTCTAGGAAATATTAAAAAGGCAGAATATTATATTTCCCTGGATGAGAAAAGGAGAAACATGTTTTTAAAGACAAAGAGCATCTCCCTGGCTCCAGCAGATATTTGGTGCCCATTGAACAGGATTGGGCCAGCCTATCTACAAGACAATTAGACCTTCAGCTCCAGGGTGATGGGACTAAGACATGACCCTCAGGACATAATAGGATTAGCCCTCTACCCATCTAGCAGCACAGCTCACTGATTTCAAAATTTCCTAAGGACATTGCATCACCCAGCAAGGTTCAACCAAACTTATCTCAGACAACCTCAGCTATGACCTCTGCATAGCCCCATGGGAATGTGACAGCAGCCAACAGAATACATTTTCTTGCACAGGAACCGGAAGCTCAAGTTCAAAGCCCAAGAGAGGGTATAAATACCTCTCACTTTCCACTTCATGTGGTCAGTTGCCCAGGACTTCAAACCCATGTGGTCCTGTTCCTCAATAAACCATCTTTCCAATCAGCCTCCATGTTTCCAGTGTCTTTCTCCCCACTTGGAGCTGAACCAGGTGAATATTTCTTCCAACGAGACCTCTTTTTATTTATTTACTTCACAGGTGTCAAAGTTGTGATGTCACATTGCTGTCATGTGATGCATTGCATGTTCCCCTTCATGGAGTTGGTGTAGGCATGACCTGCGTGTGATGCATCTGGTCTGCTAGATTGATACCCGTGATTTACTTGATCCCTCGATGGTAATTGATAATGGCTAATATCTTTCCCAACCAGAACAGGCAAAGATTTTGCAGCCAATGATTGCATAGATTCCTTGTTAGTATGCCAAGGCCGCACTCAAAATGTGAGTCAAAAAAGGAAAGTGGAGAAATGGGGGGAAAAAATGACTTCCCCGGTACCTTGGATGAAGCTATCTATCTGGACCTGTACCAGTCGGGCTTCAGGCAGGGGTACAGCACAGAAACGGCATTGGTCGCATTGGTGGATGATCTCTGGAGGGCTCAGGACAGGGGTTGCTCCTCTGTCCTAGTCCTATTAGATCTCTCAGCGGCTTTTGATACCATCGACCATGGTATCATGCTGCAGCGGTTGAGGGGGTTAGGAATAGGGGGCACCGTTTTGCGGTGGTTCTCCTCCTTCCTCTCCGACCGCTCGCAGTTTGTGTTGGCAGGGGGGCAGAGGTCGACCTCGAGGCATCTCGCATGGGGAGTGCCGCAAGGGTCGGTCCTCTCGCCCCTCCTGTTCAACATTTATGTGAAGCTGCTGGGCGAGATCATCCGTGGTTTTGGGGTGAAGTGTCATCTGTATGCTGATGACACTCAGCTGTACATCTCCACCCCAGACCACCCCAACGATGCCCTTGATGTGATGTCTCACTGCCTGGAGGCTGTGCGGGTGTGGATGGGGAGAAAAAGGCTCAGACTCAACCCTTCCAAGACCGAGTGGCTGTGGCTTCTGGCGTCCCGATATAGTCAGCTGGTGCCATTGCTGACTATTGGGGGTGAAGCGCTGCCCTCCACAGAGAGGGCTCGCAATGTGGTGTCCTCCTGGATGCACGGCTGTCTTTTGAAGAGCATATGACGGCCGTGGCCAGGGGGGGCTTTCTATCAGGTTCGCCTGCTTTGCCAGTTGCAGCCCTTTCTGGACTGGGATGCCTTGCACATGGTCACTCATGCCCTTGTCACCTCCCGGCTGGACTATTGTAATGCTCTCTACATGGGGCTCCCCTTGAAGAGCACTTGGAGGCTCCAACTTGTCCAGAATGCAGCTGCACGGGTGGTTATGGGTGCAACCCGTTGTGCCCATGTGACACCCCTCCTGCGTGAGCTGCACTGGCTCCCAGTGGTCTTCCGGGTGCGATTCAAGGTGTTGGTTACCACCTTTAAAGCGCTCCATGGCATAGGACCTGGATACCTTCAAGACCGACTTCTGCCACCAGTAGCCTCCCACCAGCCAGTTCGCTCCCACAGAGAGGGTCTCCTCAGGGTGCCATCGGCCAAGTTATGTCGGCTGGCGACATCCAGGGGGAGGGCTTTCTCTGTGGGAGCACCAGCCCTGTGGAATGAACTGCCCCCGGAAATGCGTAAGATCTCCGACCTCAGGGTATTTCGCTGTGCCCTTAAGACCCTGCTGTTCCGCCAGGCCGGGCTATCAATGTAATGATTTTAAATTGGATGTTTTAAATTTTGGGGGGTTTTAATATTGAGCCAAAATTATTTAATAATTTTAAATTATTTAAATTGTTTGTCTTTGTGCTTTTAATAGGCTGTACACTGCCCTGAGTCCTTCGGGAGAAGGGTGGTATAGAAATAAAATAAAATAATAATAATAATAATAATAATAATAATAATAATAATAATAATAATAATTCTGTAAACCAGATACTACCCATATGGCTCCCAAAAAATCTAGGAAAATGACACAAAAGATTTATCAGAGGGAATTGCATGTTATTTTTTAAACAGTTCGGATACTTAAAAGAGCATAGATATACAATCCATTTAATCATCAAACGATATTTAAAAAGAAGGAAAAAAACAATATTAAAGTAGTGAGATCACAATCTTTCTTCAATTCCACTTAGTGGCTGGACTTGTTTTGAAAGTGAGTTGGAAGAATTGTTCATGAGTATATGCTGTAGCTCTGCTGTTCATTAAATCAATTGATTTTTTTCAGCAGTTTGTTCCCCCATCCAAAGTTGCAGCTTTTTGAAATGTCATTAACTCTGATGCCTTTTTTTAAAATGGTGCATGAAAACCTGAAGAAAGGCAAGCCATTTTAATGAATAGCAGAGAGGTGAACACCGTGTTTGTGCAAGAGCCAAAGCCATTTTTCCAAATTATTTTCAAAGTGTGGACAGCCCAAGATAAAATTCATCCACTAGTCTTACATGCAATACCATCCTGATTATTTTTCCATTTAATTTCTCTTTGTTAACTCTAAATGTTTCTGATAATTAGAGGAATTTAGCACTGAAGAATTTCAATGCTAAATGATATAACTGCTGGAGAGAACACCAAACCTCTTGGACATGAGGATTAGGAGCTGCAACTCTTCCTCTACTACTAGATAATTCTACTAAATATCTATGCTTCCTATTTTGGCAGCTGCTAAGGCAATTGCTATACATTTTCAAAGACTTTCCCTGCAAAGACATTATTTCTTGAGCTAATCCATCATCCTGTCAGGTTCCATCAACATGGAAACTGGGTTATTGCTGGTGACCTGGTTAAACCTGTTTAGCATTTAGCATTTAGCTGAAGAGAAAATATGCATTGTCTGCTTTTAGCACAAGTGATTGCCATACTCCAGCTGCTACTAACTCATTCTGAAGAGATATCCTTGCTGATCTACAACTTAAAGGGGAAGTAGTCCAAACCAAAATGTTTGAAAACAAAATGGAGCAACTGCATTTTTCTAAACTAGCAGTTGGTTTATTTAATTCTCAAAGAATACAGATTTTTGATTTATCCAAGTAGGGAGGGATCTACTAATGGCAAGATTCTGATAGAACTTAAAAATTCCCTTTAATCAAGCTCAAGGTTTGGACATGGTTATCCATTACTTTCTTCTAAGATGTTTTTCGACCTGTCAGTGTAGCCTCATGGCCTTGAGATTTCCAAGTGTGCCTTATTCATATACTAACTAGTCAGATCAGGTTTTGGGGACATCCAATATCAGCTAGTGCTCCTGCTTCTTTAAAATTTAGGATGAATGTGGTCAGTTGATAGTCAAATGATACATGATGTTCCAAGGAGTGAAAAGTCCAGTTTTCAAGAATTTGAAAAGAATTTTCCTTTATATACTGCACAATAATTTAAGTGGGTTAGCCCACTTAAATATTCAAATGACAGTAATATATCTCCAAATATGGAGATCTGTAACAGTGTGCCTTTCCTACTGTTGGAAGAAACATCCTTCTAGGTTCTGCTCCAAGTGGGGAAAACAGACACTGGAAACATGGAGACTGCTTGGAAAGATGGTTTAATGGTGGACAGGATCACATGGCTTGAGTTCCTGAACAGAAAAGGGGCAGATACAGAAAATCCTCGGGTTTTTATGCTCTCTCTGGCTCTGCATTTCTTGGGGCCCCAAAAGAGTACCCTGATTGGTTGTCAGACTCCCAGGGGGTGGGGGCCTTGCTGGCTGATGGTCACATGTGCTTCCCAGGTCACATGTCGTGAGTTTCTGCTGCTATTGTGTAGAGGGCTAATCCCATTTTTGGCAATTCCTACTATGGCTCTGCCTGAAGGAGGCAGATCTTTGTTATGTAGAATAGACTGGCCCAGGCCTTAATGGCCCATTGACAAAGGGTGGGGGGCAGGAAGGTGAGAGCTGCTTTGTCTGTAAAATATGCTTCTCATATTTCTCATCCAGGGAAATATAATATTTTGCCTTTTTCATATTTCCTAAAATATTTCACTCTTCCAGGAAAGGGGTGGGTGCTAACTTCCTACACTACAACAGCCCTCCCTAATTTTACTGCTTTTATATTGCCTTGAAACATAGGGATTATTTATATTCAATTTAACCTGCTTTGCTAATCAACAAATTATGGATGAATAATCTGCTAATACGGATAGTCCTTGATTTACAGTCACAGTTGGAATCAGTATTTATATTGTTAAGCAAGGCAGTTATTAAGTGAGCCAATGCCTGATTTTACATTCTTTTTTGCTGTTGTTTCTTAAGCAAATCACTGCATGAATCATGTGGTCATTAACCAAATCCAGCTTCCCCTATTGACTTTGCTTACTGGAAGCTGTCTGGGAAGGTCACAAATGGCAATCACATGAGCCCAGGATGCTGCAATTGTTATAAATACATGTGACAATCATAAGTGCAAGGCCTGGTTGAAAATTACCTTTTTCAGTGCTGTTGTAATACTGAACAGTCCTTGTAAGGCAGGGGTGTCAAACTTGTGTTGTCATGGTGGTGCCATGTGATGTATTGTGACTTTTTTCCCCTTCACTAAACTGGGTGTGAGCATGGCCAATGTGTGATGCCTGCAGGCTGGGAGTTTGACACACCTATTGTAAGGTAAGGACCAGTGGTGGGTTTCAAAATTTTTTACTACCGGTTCTGTGGGTGTGGCTTGGTGGGTGTGACATGACTTGGTGGGCGTGGCTTGGTGGGTGTGGCAGGGGAAGGATACTGTAAAATCTCCATTCCCATCCCACTCCAGGGGAAGGATACTGTAAAATCTCCATTCCCTCCCCAATCCAGAAGTTACTGCAAAATCCCCATTTCCTCCCAATCAACTGGGACTTGGGAGGCAGAGAATAGAAAATTTTTATTACAGGTTCTCTGAACTACTCAAAATTTCCACTACCGGTTCTCCAGAACTGGTTAGAACCTGCTGAAACCCACCTCTGGTAAGGACTATCTGTATTTGTTTACCATGCTGAGAACTCACTTAAACAGGATTTTTTTTTTAATGAATCTATCACAATTAAGACATTGATTAAATTCGCAGCTTTTTATTAATAGTTAGAAAAAAACTGCTGAAGTGTACTCAGAGTCATTCTTAGAAGCTATCTTTACCCCCAGACAGTATTTTTTGGAAGTACAAGAAAAAATAATGCAGATCTGTCACTTGAATATTGAACTCTAGATTCCGGTCCTATCCCATTGATAGGAAAGCTTATAAGGAATTGCAAGCACTGCAAAATCCTCCTCTTGTAAGAAAAACAAGTCTGTTTTGGCCATGAACAAAACTGACTCTTGCATTGATGGCATCACTGCTGTGAATGAGGTGGTCTCACATCTGGAGATATGGATTGGCCTGGAAATATCTGGACTGTTGAATGACTGGCATGTTTAAGCACAGGAATTATGAAACAGATTTTAAAAATAATTTTGAAACCCAGCCTCCTATTTCTGTTTATTTTCAGGCTTATTTGCAAGGGATAAGGTGTCTGTCCTGAAAATGAACCCACCAACCTAATAAGTTCTGACCAATAAGGTCATTCCTTGAAGCAGGACTCAGCATTAAGAACATCCACAATTGTTGCCAACACTTTCAGCATCCTAATAAGTTGACACTCCTGTTTCAGAAGGTTAGATCAGGATATCCTGGACAGAAAGAGGAGGAGACGAGCACAGAATTCCCTGTCTCCTTGCCCTAACAATACGTACTTCCAATTGCATCAAGAACCTTTACCTTATCTTTGCTCCCTGCTGTTGAATGATATTTAATGAGGTATAACTAACTTCCTTATATTTTTTCCCCCTTATGAATATCTACTGTCAAATTGATTTTCATATTTTGACTCAGGGGTGATGTAATTGACATGGCAGGCAGGCAAATTTTCTTGCATTGTGACCATGACACTGTAAAATGTATTATTTCTGCACTTTCAGACCTGGCTTAAGATCCCTTCATCTGGTGGTTTGTTTTTTTTAAAAAATTGGTCAATATTCCTTCTTTACTGAGACAATGGTACTGTATTCCACAAACCTTTGCCACTTTTTTTTTAGCTCAATGTACTGAGAGTGGAAAGAAACCAGGAAGGAAATGTGTATGAAGTTGTCTGTTTTACCATGGAGAAGGGATAAAAGGCCAATCCAGTGAAGCCAACATATGGAAACAATGATGGCCAAACATATGGGTTTAATGGGGATTTTTTTCTCAAGCTGTGTATGTTAGTTTTTGACAGGAGCCTTCCTCCTTTCAAGCCATGCTTCTCCTGATGCAAACACAATCAATCATGGCTCTTTAGGTAAATCCACTGGTGCTTCCAGTGTTACAGATCAGGTTCCGATTAAGTGAACTTTACTCCATCTTAAAATCATCATGCAAACCCTGCCAGGGAAAAACTAATCAGCCCAGTGTCCTTTAAGTGTAGGAATGGGGACATTATGTTATTAGAAATGTATTAATTTCTGCAGTGCAGCCAAGGTGTATTCAGATGGAAAAAAAACCCCTCTTCCATGTGTGGGGTGATACTGTTTGCTGTGAAGGGACACTGTGTCGAGCTCCTGGAACATTATGTGCAGTTCAGTCCCTGCCTGTAAGAAGTATGAATACTTTCCATCTTCTTTGCACCAAGGACTTCAAGAGCAGAATGTCACTTCAGTGGATGGGAGAGCAGGCAGTACAGCTGACCCATTTTGCCAGAGTCGGAATTAGCTCACATGCTTAAAGGATCATTCATTTGATATGCATATAAAATATAATTTAGGGATTGGCAAATGTTTTGCAAAGTAATGCATAATTTTTTTTCTATTCAAATTGCAGAGAGGGGAAAGTAAGGACAGGATCATAATGCCTTTGAACTATGTACAGTACAATAAACTTCATCAAGAGGAGTTTGTAGGTTTTTGGAATAAATAAAGTAGGAAGGTGATCCACACATTTGATGAAAGTCAAATTTCTCTAAATCATGTAAGATGTGAAGACCAGGAAATAAGATACAGAACAAAATGAATATACGGGCAAGCAAATCTTTTTTTTTTTAATTGAATCATTGTAGAGAGTAAGGAAGATGGCCTTAATGGAAATATGTAGGAACCAAAAAGGGTTGAAGCATTTTTAAGTGCAGAATAATGAGGTAACATTTGGAAACATCTCGGGTAGATGCCTCTCTAATTCATGGAACTGTAGGAAGGAGGAGGAAGTACAGCATAATCAGACTTGCAACATTCTGTTATTATAGCCGTTCTGAACAAAAGTAGCTTTAGCCAGTGGTGAAATTCAAAATTTTTTTACTACTGGTTCTGTGGGCGTGGCTTGGTGGGCGTAGTGTGGCTTGGTGGGTGTGGCAGGGGAAAGATACTGCAAAATCTCCAATCCCACCCCACTCCAGGGGAAGGATACTGCAAAATCCCCATTCCCTCCCCACTCCTGGGGGAAGGATACTGCAAAATCTCCATTCCCACCCCACTCCTGGGGGAAGGATACTGCAAAATCTTCATTCCCTCCCCACTCCAGGGGAAGATACTGCAAAATCTCCATTCCCACCCCATTCTGGGGCCAGCCAGAGGTGGTATTTGCCGGTTCTCCGAACTATTCAAAATTTCTGCTACCAGTTCTCCAGAACCTGACAGAATCTGCTGAATTTCATCCCTGGTTTTAGCCTTCCTGTGGGGTTGATCTCCTGGCTTTGTCTACCTACTGGGGCTGACAACTATTTTATAATTCACCATTCCTTGAAAGGGTGCAAATGCTGGCATCAGAAGGCAAACGCCAACAGTAAGACACCAGCAAGAACGTATCAGAAAAATGAAAAAGTTGAAGGTGGCAAAATGAAAAGAACGACTTTCTATTACAAGACATTTTCAAGCTTCTCTGCTAACCTAGGGTGTAGTGATGTTTGCTGCTTTAAAGTTAATGCAACTGATAAAACAGTGGCGCCTTTTCGGCATTAGAAAGTCAGGGTTCTCTAACAAATGGCCTGGTCGTGTTCTGCTTCTGTGAAATAAACATAGAAGTCATAATTGCCGACATTCCATACTGGGGTCTTGAGTGCATTTCTGTGGTTATTTAACATTCCCCTTGCCTTCTCATTTTCCATTATCTCTAGCCAATAGTGAATGGAATTCATTAGGACTGCAAGGGCAAAAATTACCAAAAGCAGACAACTAATTCTGGTTTCTTCCAATCTATCTCAGCGGCAGAGACACACTACAAACACTTAAGCACTGCAGTGCGTTTCATTCCTTGACACTTCACTGAGTCTCTTCCCTTGAATCAGTAATCTTACACATCATCAAGTCTGATCTTTTCAATTATCCTCCTTTCCAGCCAGCTATACCCTTCCGTTAGCTTACCATTACACAGTGCAAATAGTGCCAGAGGCATAGGCAGATCATAGGGAACTGCTAGACCCAACACAACCAAGTGAACCATTTAATTTATTGGCATTGGCCACTGTGGCAATCATCCACTTCACTGGCCTTAGGCTCATGTTACAAGACATGAGAACATCTGAAAGATCTGACATGAGAAAGTCTGGCTGCTCATCATCATCTTTATTAAGAAAGACCAGTACAAAATAAGTTAAAGCAATCCAAATACACCAAAAATATAGTAATGTTGTAAAAGTTTAATACATGGTTTAACCAAAGATCTGCTCTTTACACATATGAGTATGATATAGACCAGGGTGTCAAACTCAAGGCTCCGGCCTGCAAGGTGCTTAGATCTGGCTTGTGGGGTCGGCCTGGAAATAGCAAAGGACCAGCCTGCGGTGCCTCTGCTAGTGAAAATGGGGTGCAATGTGGGCTGTATGAGGTCCTCCCATGCCCCGTTTTCAGCCTGGCCGGCCTCCTGCAACACCCTGCAGGAGCCAAAACAGGGAGGGGAGGCTGCCAGCCTGCCAAAACAGGGCGCAGGGTGCCCTATTTTGGCTGGCAGAGTCTGCAGGAGGTGTCTGTCCTGTCTGCCTCCATCCTGTCTCCCCCCACCCCCCGGCTACCCCACGGAGGACAACTACAATGCTGATCCAGCCCTCGAAGAAATCCAGTTTGAAACCCCTGATATAGACTTATCACTAAGGTACAAAATGTAGCATTTTAAAAGATAACTTTAGTACACTTGTAATTTAAGATCGCTTCCAGATAACATTGATTGGGAATCTGGGCTACCGTAAGCCTATTCTTTATGAAGGAAAACAACTTATGTTTTAGAATATTGTGCTTACATATAATTATGAATATCCTGTATACACTGATGATATGATCTTGTGAGATTTCCTGGAGTAACAGAATTAGAATTAGAAAGTATTGGATAGATATCTCCTGCTATCATTGGTTAGGTCTACCACATGTGGGCTGCAAAAATTCATTTAACCACCAGATGGGAGAAAAGAGACATGGAGTACATGACATGATTGCTGGATGGGAGGGAGCTAAAACATCTGACACCCCATTGATTGTCAGGATTGATTTTTGGCCCAGCTATTTATTTATTTTATTTATTTATTTTTCAAATTTCTATACCGCCCTTCTCCTTTCGGACTCAGGGCGGTGAACAGCCAAGTAAAACACTTTATATACAAAAGTTAAAATATATTTAAAATAATTAAATAATTTGGCCCATAATTTAAAACATTACAATTTAAAACCAATTTCAAATTTTAAAAACCCATCATAAAATCAGGACAGCCCGGCTAACTGAAAGAGGTAGGTTTTAAGGGCCTGACGAAAAGTCCGGAGGTCTGGGATCACTCGTATCTCTAGGGGTAGATTGTTCCAGAGGGTAGGTGCCACCACAGAGAAGGCTCTCCCCCTGGGGGTCGCCAGCCGACATTTGCTGACAACTAGTGGGCATCTGTGTTTCTACAGCTAAAATCTGGTAGTCCTAGTACTGATTGAATCAATTCTCTTTTAGGACATGAAATTCTGGCCCAGGGATGTCCACCCTTGGCAACTTTAAGACCTGTGAACTTCAGTTCACAGATTTCTGGGAATTGAAGTCCACAAGTCTTAAAGTTGTCAAAGTTAAGACATTCCTGTTTTAGCCTGTAGCACTGCTCAGGGGCCTGTTATTTCTTCGTTAGAATTAACTCCTAAGCTTCTTTCTGTGCCTCTTGCTGGCTAATTCATGTTGTGCTTATTCAATCACTTTTAACAGCAAGAAAAGTGAGGGTTTAAGATTAGATTGCAAAGCTTTCTCTTTCCACCACAACTGTCAATATTTGTTTAAAAATTAAAATTAGTCTCCAACCCCCTGCAAATTTATTGTTCATAGAATTACAATCACTGGGAGAAAAATAGAATCTGTTCCCTGAGTAGTAAGTATTTTCATCCAAGCAGAAAAATGTGCTTTGCTACTAGAGGAATTAAAGCTCAAAGTAGGGGGAAAAAACCCAATAATTCCCCTATGTCAAATTACAACATATACTCCTAAGTAAAGCAGGTTGGTCTTCAGCAGAAATTATTGTTAGGTATCCAACAAATTAATTTATATAATAATTCACTCAATATGTTATTCCTTTCCTATATTTGTTCTTGTTCTTTTGCTTTTTAGGGACAAAATGGCCTCTGATTTACTTTTTTAAACAGTGGCTGGGAAGATTAGGGATATTAATTTTTGAATGAAATAAATCCTGCTATTAAATAGCAGGAAAGGAATACAGACAACTCTACTCATTGCTGTCATTTTGGGCTACCATATTGGCTGAACATACGGTAACCCTATGACAACCATCCCTCTATGTGGATTAGTTTTAAGCAAGGAACCGGACCAAAGATGCTCACAGGGGACAGGTGAGTCTAGTAGTACAGTTCTCCATTTACTCTAATGGACCAACCTTCACTTTTTCCAACTTTTGTAGGTGAAAAATCAGGGTTTTGTTCATGAGAGGCGGGGTTATATTTGTTAGCTTGCTGCCACCTACTGGCAAAAGGATATGTCACTGCCAACATAATCCCCTGATACATTATTCTTGCCAGAAGAAATATTTCTCTACTCTATACAATATATTAAATTCAATCTATTATGACTAGTGATTACCCATCTCTATAGAATATTGCACTTTAAAGAATTGTGATATTTGAAACTGATTGTCTCATACATCAGACTCATGGGAACACTAAATTTCCAGGGGCCACTGAATGACAGTTCCCATCAACCCTGATCTTGACTATTAAGGAGGAAAATGTTGGACACTGAACTTCAGTGACATCTAAGATGGCACAGATTCCCCATCTCTCCCTTATCTCTTCTGTGTTTTCCTCAAATTTCAGTCTCTGTTGATATGCTTCATTTTAGTCTTTTTCAGACTTATCACTGCTGCATTCTTCCATCAGCCAAATTCATTTGGGCTCAATTTTGTGTTCCTCTAACCAGTTTTCAAGTAATGTTTTCCTTGTTCTGATTTCTTTCTTTTTTCATGGATGCCATATAGTAGCTTTCATCGATGATGTGGTTACTGAGAGGGCTAAGACTTTGAATCTAGTGAACTTGCTTGGCCATCTATTGGTCTGCTGCAAATATGCACCCTCTGATCCAGTTGCAGAATTCTGACATCCATGGCCATTGTGGTCTAGTCCTCAACAGTATATTTTCATATTGATAAAGAGGCTACTAACTGCTGTGTGAAAAATATTTTCATGTAGTCTGGGCTACCTCTTCAGAAGAGGTGGGTTTCCTTCCCTTGCACTGGAAACACAGGACAAAAAAAAAGTAAGAAGCTAATTACTTTGGATTGCATATTTATAAGACTCACATTTAAAAGCAAAAGTTCTAATTGGAATTCTTGTGCCATAGCTAAATCAGAACTCTGAGACATTTATTCCTTGTTTATTCATTTCAAATCCTGATCATTGCTAGAGTTCTGACATGCAGGAGAAAAAAAACCCTGTCC